ACGACGGAGATGTTCTGAATAACGTTCTTGTCTCGATATGACTGGCACGTCTTGAATGACCCGACCGAAGAGTGTGACGCGCTGGTTTGGGGTCTCCTCACTTGTGCTGAACAGGCCAAGGTTCCTCTCTTAAATACCTCCGCTCGCGACGTAGGATATTCTCAAGACAAGAAGAAACTTGAGGCTCGACCAGAACGCCACACACCTTGGAAGGCTGCAAGCGAATATCAGCTGCAGACAGGTAGTGCAGCAAGACCTTCAGTTATACAGGCAGAGTAGACCACTGGAGGCAGCCTTGAACAAAACTATTTTGAGAAAATGTCATCGGGATCTCCAGGACCACAGTATTCCACTTTCATGTTTGAAGAAGGAGGACGGAACAAGTACATTTGAGATGGAGTAATTTACTCGGAGGTTTCATACCAACCTGTACTTATCCACGACCCACGCGCGAATACCAAAAATCCCCACTGGCGGAACAGCACCTCGGATCCTACCTTCGGAGGTGGAAGTTGCAATTGCAAGCATGAAAAGGGGCACAACTCCAGGCCCAAACAAGATCTCAGCCGACCTACTCCGTGCAGATGGCTACTAACTTCATGCGCTTCTCGCAACACACATGACATCCTACCTCCAAAAAAAGAAGGTCCCAACCAGTGGAGGAACTCGCGAATGGTCACTCTTCACAAGAAGGTCGGCCGGGATAATTTTCACAACTACCACCCAATAAGCTTGTTAAGCGTGCTTTGCAAGCTGTTCACGAAAACCATTCTAACCCATATACCGCGAACCTTGAATGAAGCTTAACTTGTAGAGCAGGCTGGATTTCCGGAGGGATCCAGCTCCTTAGACCTGATCCAAGCTGTTGCAATGGTCATCGAAGTGTGCCGAGAACCCCGAACACCTCTTGTCCTCAACGTTGTTGACTATAAAAAGCTTTTGACAGCGGTACTGTCGATCAATGATGAACTCTCCATACATCGGAACACTAGCTGACTGCAGTAGTCGCTGCAGAGCGACGGTATGCTGTTCCAACGACCTCTCCCCATTCCCATAGGGAAGGTGAGACAAGGCGACACCATTTCGCCGAAGCTGTTCACAGCTGCAGTGCGTTATGAAGTCGCTAGACTGGGAGGAAAGGGGATTCGTGTGGATGGACGGTTCCTCTCGAATCTCCGCTTTGCGGAAGACATGGTTCCCTTTTCAAGCAGCACTGCGGAAGCTGGGACTATGCTTGCTGAGCATAATAAAGCAGGAAAGAAGGTAGGGCTGCGGATCAACCAAACAATGACATCATGAAGAATGCTTGGGCTGACGAATTAAGGTCAAATTAAGATTGATGGAACACCCATCAAGGAGGTCTTGTCCTACGTGTATCTCGGGCGTTCCATGAATATGAACAACGACATGAAGGAAGAACTGGTGAAACAGCAGAAAGCAGCGTGGGCAGCCTTCGGACGTCTGAAAGAGGTCACTAACCGTCTGGCCGACCCGGAACTTCACGCTAATCTGTTTGATTACACCGTTCTTCCTGCGCTTGGTTCGGGTCGGAGACCTGGGCATCCACGTCAAGGGCTTTGAGCACGAGTCACAGAGCGCTCGAGCGTTGTCTTTTATGTTTCAATCGGCTCAATCAATATCGAGCCTCACTCCGGAGCTCCGATATACGCAGAATGTCTCGATTCCGCGATGTGGTGGAATATATGAAGAATGCAAAATTTCGGTGGGCTGATCATATCATGAGAAGAGATGATGACAGATGGACAAGAAGGACAGTTGAATGGGCTCCCGTAGGATCTTCACGATCCAAGGGTATTCTTGTGGCGAGATGGGGGGATGTGCTTGTCGATTACGTGAACCAGCTGTGACAGCAGCTGAACGATTCCTCACATCGTATCTTCTGAGTCTACCGTCGATGGCGATCGCGAAAGACAGAAGCGAATGGTTTGTTGCTGCTGCTCGCAAATGAGCAAAGACGAGCCGTATAAGTTTAAGTATAATTATAGTATAAGTTCGACGCTCTGTCTAGTCCGTTTTTCNGTACCACATCCCAGAGGTTTATTCTGAGGGGTGATCTCAGAAACAATTTTTATCATGAACTGTGCCTTTGATGACTTAATCACATGGTGCACTTTTCGATTCTCGTGTACTTTCGCGGGATTTTGACATCTGGCATAGATGTGGTGCACTGGATCGGTCAAGATCGAACCCTTCAGCGAGAACCTCAACTGGGATTATAATGATGGAGAGAACCCTTATCACTGCCCTTGAGAAGCAATCGTGAGAAGAAATGACTTGCTGTCTTCTGGTCGAATTATTTCTTTTACCTCAGCATGAAGGTGTTTTTGCCTCGGCCAAGTTGATAGCACTATTTATTCGGCCAACATTTCGGCGTTGTCGCCTTCGTCAGACCCCGGAAGCCAAAAGTGTTTGAGATTCATCCATATCGAACCCCATTTCCCACTTCAGTTAGCTCAAGTAAATATAACCCACAGATATCTAAAAAGGTCTCGTAAACCACAACTGGGAACCTACCTTGGAAATAGAGAAGATGACGTGTGGACCACCTTTTAAACCGCATATTTAAACGTTTCCGCGGGCTATGGGTGACCTGACCACGAACTTGAAGCCGGTGGCAATTGCAGCCCACACAGGTCAAGAAACGGGACGAGTTCATTTGTTATGGCCAGGCATTCGTCTTTCCGGTTAATTTTGGGGTCTTTTGCGCAGATCCAGAACGCTTCCAAAGTTTTGTGCGCGGAGGTATGGGCTTCCGCATCAAAATCCTGACTGAGACTTCAAACTCTACGTTTTCGTGGAATTGCCTACGATGGTCTTCGAGTGGGGTTTCAGGCGTTGATTTCTTCAGACCAGCTAGGTGTTTCTTGATCCTACATATTGAAGGCCGCGCGGTCTCACATATGTATTCGTCCCCGCAGACCTCGCAAACCATGCAGTCCCCTCGCGCACATTGGAACAGTGAGGGGTTATGCAGAGACGGTCATACAAACGAATTTGAACCAGCTTTTTCCTGAGTTTAGTAGGAGGAAGCCGGAGTCTGATACGAAGGAAAGACAAAAAGTCAACTTTCCCGAACTTTCACTTGTATGCTCATGTAGCCTGCTACGGGGTGGGGTCTGCGAAGGGAATGTTCCTTCCGAGGGAAACCCATTAGTGATGGCCACCTCTTGAGCGATCTCCATCGATTCTGCCAATCACCTGATGAGATCATTTTTGCTGTCCTAAACATGGTAGCTGTGATGGCCTGCTTGACTTTGAGAGGATACGCCGACCTGAAGTAGACCAGGATATTCTTGCAAGGGGGCCGCCATGCCTCCAGTTCCTCAACTACTACCTAACCACAGGTTCAAACGCGAAGCAGCATGCCGGTCATTATAAGACCTCACATAGCTGGAAATTACCGGAACTTTGCATTGCAGGAAATATTTAAAAAATACAAAATCCGGTTTTTTACATAAATAAGAGTGATAGAGCGGGCACGCCCCNACGCCGCACGTTTCACCCACCCACCGCGTTGACTGCTTTCATAGTCCACGACCAGTCGCGCGACTGGACGTTTGAGCGGTCGCTCGACTGATCGCGCGATCTGCTCAGGACCGCCCACGGCGGCACCCATAACTAGCGCGGCCTTCTCGACCGATCGAGCGACCGGTGGCGCGATCAGTTGAGCGACCAGTCGCTAGCGACTGGCGACCAGTCGCGCGACCGGTCGCGCTGGTCGCTCGCAAAATCGTGGACTAGAAAGATGCCGTTGAGGTGGTAGGCCAGTGGGGGGAGTATTTCCATAATTAATAGTACATAACCAAACTGAGCCAGATATTGAAGAGCAATATTCTTCAATAGTATTCTTTTCTTCAAAGGGTCAACCGGTAGGAGAGGACTGTGCAGTGAGACGGGACGGTCAACTACTGGTACCTATTTACCGATCGCGGAGTGTATTATCCCTCATTGACTGTACCGAGCGGAGATTCGATCCCATGACTAAGCGTGTATGATAGTGCGCCGTTTGCCACTGCACCATCATATCCCCCACTTATTTCAAATAGAATATGCAGTGACTTCAAGAAGTAAGTCACTCAAGAATCCCTAGAGCGACCTTTATGTTTTATAGACATTTAAACTACATTCCGACTCATTGGCATTTGGACACATAGCGGAATACGAAAAAAACCTTGATAGATTGGAGAAAGGAAACAAGAGGTAAATATGGGAAGGAACATATAACTAAAACGAACTCAAACCTGGATTCAAGAGTAAATTGTATAATAGTTTACTCATTGCTTAACAATCACCTTGAAATAAAGTGCTCCAATACAAGGGCCGTGATGCAGCAGCTGTTTCAAAAGCAATGTCAATGTCTGTCCAGTTTTGTCTCTCCCTGTGAATAAAAGTGATTATTAGCACCAATTGTTATTCAGAACTGGGGTGTATTTTTCAGTATTGGTTGTTACCACAGTTACCTGTATCCCCATTATTCTGTTTGCTGAAATCCAGAAGCTAGTTATTAAGACTACCTGGATACCTGCAAATCAAAATTAATCGCTGGCATTTGATCAGTTTTTTACGACCAAGCATATATCTATTCAATAGTTTTGCTGTGTTTTCGCAATCACTACCCAATCATTACCATTACACAATACCACGTGCCATATAGAAACCCAAGTTAACCATCCCTTTTGGATTTCCCTTTCGCTACGTAGTTGTTATGCAGCTTTTGCTCATTTCCCCGAACTGGCTTCATGCCAAGGTTTCAACAAGATGATGTGAAGTCAATCCCAGTGCTTTAAAGATCCGCTAATGCAAGGCCTTGTTTGATGCTAAAGTTCATAATGAAAAATTGGAATGGTCACGTTTTCAAGTTGTAGTTTCTTGTGGCGTTAATTTCTCCATCTCGTTATTTTTGTTTGCTTGTTTTTGTGTGAATCTATTGCTCGATTCTTTCGAATTCTTCTGAATTATTGAATTAGTTGTAGAGTGTCATGGAAATTGCTAAATCACTACGGCGAATATTAGAAAGCATACCAGGTGTCAGTACGATCTTCCTTACTGATCGTGATGGTGTGATCGTCCTTAGTGTCGGTGAGTTTCACATTGCCACTTCCGAGTTTGTTCTCTATCAATCCTTATTAAAGTTTGTTTTCATCCTCAAAAAATTCACGAATTGCAAAATGAATTTCGATTGTGTCGCTCTCATAATGTTAGCATGAAAGAATGCTAACGAGCGTCACGTTTGCTGCCGATAACCGAATTATATCGCCTGATTTATCAGATTATGTCACCTTTCTGCAAGAAATTTAAAATGGTTTATTAGCAGGGAGCTTAGAATCAAGGAGTTCTGAAGTGTAATAGGATAAAATAGGTATAATCTTAGTTGGAGTGAGTGATTAGCGCTCATTTGTATTCACCAAAACGTACTACTCTTTTGATGGTAGACCGAACTTTCCTAAGAGTAATGATGAGTGTGGGGCGGAGGTGGTGTAGTGGCAAGTGGCGCACTATACCACACGCACGGTCAGGGGTTCGAATCCCGGATCGATGCCCGCCTAGGCCAACCAAGCCTTCCATCCCTCCGGGGTCGGTGAATTGGTACCAGACTCGTTTGGGAGGATAAAAGCACTGACTTGTACATCGGCTGGCCACCGCAAGTCATTGTATAGGCCACATACGCACTCATTACGCCACTACGATTCTGAATGGAAGTCGAGTGCGGGGGCGCATCCCTCAGACGGGATTGATTAACGCCAGAAACTTTATCCTTTATCCTTTAATGATGAGTGAGCGTGAAAATATACTCCATGATTTACTTTTGACAACCTTCAGAGTACAAGCATCAGTTTTGATATATTTCGACTTTTAGGAGACTTTACAAATCTCATCTACATTATGCTCAAAGCATGCCGCTATAGAAATTGTGCGGGATAGCACCATTTTCTTTATGCCGATGTTGCTACATGAAGAAAATGTTGCTATCCCGTACAATTTCTCGGTTTGCATGCATTCATAGTACAAGTAGATTGGGGGAAGGGAGGCTGTTGTAGATGTCTTTTGTATCGACTAAACTTTTTTTGTTGCTTAACAGTTCCTTTCTTCGCTATCTCTTTGTTGCTCTTTTTCTAATTAAGTTTGGGGCACCGCTTCAGCTGTAAGATTGGAGCACCCTTTCTCAGCTACGAATGGTGCGGCAAATTGGCCGCTGATAATATTATAGAAATGACCCAAAGTTCAGTTAATGCTTTTGCCCAGATATCACTAAAATCGCTTTTTGTGATTCCTATTTAGGTGAGGAGCTTCGGTCAAGAGCTTCATTGATATCAAGTCTGCAAGCTACTCAAGATCAAACCGGAAAGCTGCTCTTAGGTGAAAATCCTTATTTTGTTCTTCCGCAATAGAAAATTATGCTGCTTTTTTCAGGTCCTCATATTTCCTCTGTCTTTTTCTATGAGAGTAGTCAGCTAGTTATTTTGAATGCTACACCATTAATGGCATTCATTGTCGCATCACCGTCTGCCAGTACTGGTAGCATACTCAAACTACGAGAAAAGTTGGAACCCTTGTTGCAGGTTATCGAGAGTGTTGTTCCAGACATGCCTGGTGGTGGGTTCTAATGAATCAGCTATATAATCCATTTGGCCACGTTATTGCTTTCGAAAGTACGAATTGGTCTACTCACGCTAACAGGTACATCACCATGGCCACTCACCTACGATAGAGATGTAACAGGATGAAAATCAACCAGGGGAATGTCTGATGTGTAAGAACAAAATGACTATATCGGAATTTGAACGCTAAGAAGGCTTTGCTAATATCCCGCTCAGTCTGTTTTATAGCACTGCCCTCACTTTCCACGTAGGTTCATGTGGACTGTCAGACTGAACGACATACGAGCAGTTGGAGGTTAGGCTTAGGGTCTGGTAGTCTGGGTTTTGTCACTGGTTTTGTGACATTATCGAAGTCAATATGCTCATTTGGAAGACTTGAAGTGCTAGATCAGCCCAATCGGACAATTTTGGTGATCTCAGCAAAATCTGTCACAGGACCACCTCTAAAAAACAAGGATTACTAGGCTACCGCAGCCGTGTATCATAGTTCTACTCTGATTTAATCTTTAAGTCTTTATACGGAGCAGGTGCATTTGCAGGAAATAGCTCTTCATGACGCTGAAATGTTTCGCAAGCAACGCAATGACTCTCGATACAGTTCAGCTAAAGAACTAACGGAAACTAAATTTCAACATTACACTTTTACGATGAATGGAGCGTCTTCAAGAGAGGATTTCAAGATGGGGGCTTGCATGTTTTGCCTGTAAATCTACAGCAAGTGTAAGTCAAGCAAAACGATTGGCTTATAATCAAACATCATATCACTACTTAATATACCACATAGATGACCTCTGCTACTGTTTTTGTAGACTATATCGTTGGTAGAGTTCAATCGCATTATCGCATGATGGAGCCTGTTTCTTTGGGATTAACGCCGATCAGGTTTTTCCCCTTGATGCTCTGAAATGTTGATGTAATCCTTCTCTTAACTCAAATGAACGAAGTTCAGAGGAGTCAGCACGGTCTGGGCATCGGATCCAAACAGCCTACTTCCCCTACTTCCCAGTTTGTTTTCATCGGAAACGAGCTTTAATAATGGGGTTTTATAAGATTCAAAATCTGGAAAGGTTCCTTCAGTAAGGCGACACTACAAACAGACTATACATATTCCTGCTAATTTTGTATTGTTGTACGAGAAATTCATGGCCCCCATCTTGAAAAGCTCCTTTATTATTTTTCCGTTTTTGATGTAAGTCTCATAAGTGTAGAGGTATCCTACATCTTCTTTTGGCGAATGATGTTTGGTGTCTCATACTTTTATTATATTATAAATTCATATCTTCGTTGTTATTTGAAAGCTGAGCAATTACTGTTCATTTGATTTCGTTGATGAACATTGTAGCCTTACATAGGACGGTGACTAGCGATGCATTGCACGAGATTTGTCCATAGTTTTGTTTAATTTATTTTTTGATTAACAATAAATTGACATTCCGAGCTCTTATGCTTCCTCTGCAGACATATCTGATGTCATGTCAGTACTGATATTTTACAAATGTTTTACCAATGGCTCTTTAGGGATTGCGTCGCCACTTGCTTCTCGTTAAAGTTTTTACTTCGCAACGAACTAGGTAAAAGTTAAAATACTAAGAATATCCATTATTTAGTGGTTTCTTATATGACTTTTTTTCCCCCATTGAGGTTTAAGAGCGCACGGCCCCGGCCTTTTCTAACACCTTTGTGCGTGGTTCCAAACTCGTTGAACATGAATCGTGGGGCATACATTAGGGAAGTTGGGTCGTAAACAAGTCCTAAGTTGCGGATACTATCGCAAGTCTACCCTTCAGTTTATCCGTCTGTGTGTGAACGCAGTTAATGTGTAGTGAAGTTTCCATGCAAATAGTGCGAGGGAATCTTTTTGAGAGGGATGTATCTTTGAAGTGACGGTCTCGCATAAAAGCTTGTGATCAATTCTGTAAGATGGTTCGAACGCTCATCGAATATTCTGGTACCGTTAACTGGATCATTTTGAATGCACAGCTTTCCTATCTGAACCGGATGTTTCGGTTACCTCTTTCTTCCTTTCAACACATTTTCAGAATCAGTCCAAATATTGTTGGAGATGCGTCTCAGTTCATAGCAATGTTCAGAAAGTGTTCCGCTGTGTTGAGGACATTTCAACAGGCGAGTGAACGAGTATAATTTTATTTATAAGTAGTCCATTTTATCGTTGATTGGTTGCATTAATATTGGCTAAACAGTTCAAAAGTTACACCAACAATTAGATGTTTTAAGAGAGAACACTGTTCCCTATGAAGATTCCTTGCTTTTTATCTTTGAGATTCGGTTTAGTTGTAATATTGCTAGGCGTGAAACCTGGACACGTCAGTAGAACGGTAAAACATAACAAGTCCTTCCCTCCAGCAGCTGGTTCTATAGACTGTGATGAACATACCAAAAGGTTTGTGTTGGTAAAATGGAGAAGCCTCATTCCAATTATCTTTTGCCACAGCGGTTATTGATTCGGAAACACGTATAGAAGACTCGACGATTTAGAAAACACATTCGCGGCGGTTGTCGCTGTACGCGACATGTCGAGGAAGTCTGAACATAAGATGTAGGGTTAACAATGAGAAGATGGAAAGGCGAAGCGGCAAATGCTAGATGGCGCGGTCATCTTGCTCACCATACGCCAGCTTTCCTCCTCTCTTCACCACGCGCCTTTGGCTCTTACTTCGTGGTCATCCGTCTTCCTCGTGTGAACGACTGTTGCTCCTATCTGAATTTCTTCGTCGACAACTGTTTCTGCTGACGGAATAAAAACTTGAAATTTCCCCAGACTGGGCTCTCCTAATTTTTTATTGTATTATTGAGCAAGATCATTTTTCATGCTACAGCTCAGAAGCCGGTGTGCAATCAATGCAATTAATATCCATAAAATGACTCTATTGTCCTGTTACTTGCTTAGCGTTTGGTTTCTGTTGAGTCCTGCAAATCCAATGCTTTTGCAAGTAATTCTTCGAAAACTTTCATTTCAGTTTGTTAACCGATCGTTATTGTGCCGTCGGCTTTGTCAAGGAACCCATGGAGTCCGCCTTCATCAACAGTATTACAAGCACGGGAGGCGGTGGGGTGATCGGCGAATCCTTTTAGCATTTGTTTCGGCCGCTGGATTTTCCTTCGCTGAACACGGTTGGTCCAGTTATCGTCTGGACATTTTCAATTGAAAGATTCATATTTGCAGGTATACCTGATGAACGCTATGACAACAAAGCTTATTTGCACAAGGAATTTGGTAAGCCTTTCAGGGTAAAATGTATGGAGTTAGTAGTTCCTTCTCTGTATGAGAAATATCAATCTGATATGTGTTTAAATGCTTCTCCTTGCGTAATTTAGAGCATGAAAGCGACAGCGCAGATGGTTGGGAGACGTTGGTGGAAGAGGAAGATCTGAAAGTATATAGAAGGTATGATGAAAATTCAGTAGAATTTGAACCGTTTCAACTTTTTTTTCTTGTAAAAGTAGGAAGAATCGCGCATTGTATTTGAATAATGCAGCTGGAGAGCAGAACTCAGCCAGCGATCAAGGCTTGAGTTCAGGTTGCAACCTACGTTCATGTCTTGTGAAATTCTTAAGAATTTATTACCCCACCAGAAGAGATTATTGCATTCTTAGCCGCGTATTTTCGAATCAATCGCAGACCGCTGTTGTTAAAAGATCCAGTTCGATCTCTTTTAGACCCCCAATCAGGTTCCCTCGCTAGGGATTAAAATATAGTATAGGGTGTTCTTCAACGAGAGTGGAATCAATAGAAACGCAGGTTAACGGGCAGCATTTTAGCGATCGCTGCCGGTCAAAATTTATGATCAAATTGTATCAAGTTGTGTCATCCTCAACACCGTCTATCTTTATGAGTTGGCACCTTTCTACAGCGTACTTGTCACGCTCCTATATAATTCTTGTTCAGGTTAGTACCGGGCAAGTATGTGATTTATGAATATAAATGTGTTGGCTCGTATTACGACATCAGTCCGAATTATTTTCTCGGTACGTTTTGTTCAGTTATTCTATAACCGATTGCCCAGCTCACACAGACCCTTTCTTTTTGTGTTAAAATCGGCTTTCGCCTGAATTTCAAATTCGAACACTCTTGTCCTGAGGGAGTAAGTTCCAGGAATAAGCACGAACCCCTACCCCCGTGTGGAGCCCAAATGTGCCGCCCACCATCAGCGTTCCCAGTGGCAACCTGTACTCCTAGCAAATTTGAAAGCTTCAGGTCTAGGGGAGCGAGGTTTATGAGTTTTCGGCCAGACCTACTGACAAACCAATAATCACAATAAAAGCGCCAGTGTAGGATTACTGGTAACGATCAATGTATCTCATAAGTGTAGAAAACTGATGCTTCAAAGAACGTCGAAATAGGCCTAATAATCAACGATATTCATATACTACTAGTTTGCTCATTCCTGTCTTTCACGGAATATTCTCAGACGTGCAAAACGAGCTGGCGTTCAGAAAGGAGTGGGACAGCAATGTGCTGAGATTAGAACTGTTAAAGGAGGAAGATGAGCACGAGGTTAATTTGCTTACGCTCTTGGTTTTTTTTGCTGTCCATGATGTTCCTTTTCCTATTCATAAGCATTCACTTCCAGAATCAGTTGTAGTTGAATAATGCTTTGAAAAACCGGTAAATGTAGTTGTTCCAGCTGATTCGATGGGTACAGAAATACCCGTATCCGTTATATCCTCGAGAATATGTGTACGCTCGGAGAACATGGGTTTCCGAGGATTCTCATACAATCATTGTTGACAGTGAGGTTGTTCCGACTCACGTGAGTTCTCAGCCTTTTTTTCCTGGAGTAGTTTTCAAACACCCTTAACCCATTGCGTACCGTAGTGCCTTCGCGCTGGCTGGCGCATGTGCCCGGGATTTTCTTCAGAATCGACGCACCGACGTGACTGGCCGCATTCATACTAGGTGCCGTAGACGGCATAGAGTGCCGTAGACGGTCGTCTCGGTGCCNGAACGGACGGACGGACGGACGGACGGACGGTCGTCGAACTCTGAAAGTAGCCACTAGCGGCGTACAGCCACGCAGCCACACAGAGGGGTTTTCTGAAGGAACTGCAGGGTAGTGTTGATCGAACTCCATTCAAACACTAGAGTGATTCTGGACCAAAACGCGGTCACGCAGAGGCGAAGGGGCGTGCTGCACCATGTGCAGCATGCGGTACGCAATGGGTTGAAATGTGTCAACACAGAGTATCCGTAGTGCAATGCAGATTTCTTTCCTAGGAATCATAAGACACTATGTCAATCGACATATTGAATAAAGCAATTTTGCGGCCGTCAATTGATGCATAAACCGTCAAAATCGTCTAATTTTGCAAGCATTCCCAAGTTACTATTCCTAATCATGGTATTGAAAAAGGATCCTTTCAGTTGGTACCTGGAAGTTCTAAAAACGTTCGTGTGGCTAAGTATAGGTCGCGAATGGCTGTGAGATCACATAAGGAATTTGACGACCACGGCTTAGGTTGGTTTTTTGCGATCACAAAAAAACCAATCTAAAGTGTGAGAAATCTATTGGTTTAAGATTCGAACCGTTTTTTTCAGGAATAGCGATATTAGAAATATTTAGCAAAACAATGTTATCATATTTAAGATTTTGTCTTAACATACTTCGACAATCCTGAAGCGAACATACCACGGTATGTCTACAATTGGATGGTTAATCATGGGGGACCATATTTCCTGCAACAGGTAAAAATTTGCAGCTCTATGCTATCTGGAGATGACCGGAACGAATGCAGTTTTTGTTTTGATGAAATATTTTATAAAATTTCACAATGCAGCGTTGCGAGTCTTCCAATGTGAGCGTCACCCCAGTCCCCATTTGGAATGAGTTTCCAAATAATGTAATTGCTAGAGTAAACTATGTTCACTCGGGAATTCAAAGGAACTCTACTACATATGACATGGTGTGCACAGAGGGCTACATGCTTTGAATAAAAGGCATAACCACCGCAAGCAGGATCCATTTCTATCAACTGTATTACCTTTGTCACCATGAATTTTAGTTTGCTCGAGAGGGCGTAAGGGGTGGCGGAACTGTACTCTCCGATTTTCAATTTCGCTTTGCCGCGTGCGGCAAATCTATTTTAGTAGTCTCGCAACTTCAAGCTGCGATACTATTCTGCAATACAATGCTCAGCCCGCCTCCCCGCCAAACAAAAGGGCACATTTTTTTTGTTGACTTTCTTATTTTTTGACTGGTTTCGATTTTTTTCTTCTGTTTTAGATGAACACAATCACTAACAAACCTGCGAGAACTCGCTTCTTGTCCTATTGACAACTATCGAGACCGCATGAGGAATAATGGAATTAGCTAAGAATGGTAAATAATTGAAGGATTCTGACTCATAAATTGTGTGCTCCAATCATCCGTCGCATGTTTGCGATGCGCAGCGGTTGCGGCGAGCACGATGTGATTTCTGGGGAGAAGGTACCACAGCTGGGCGTCGGAGACTATATTCGTTACTGTCGGTAGCCAGTGTGGTCTTGTCCTGTGAGCTCTTTTTGCTCAAGTAGCACAAGCGAATTGTTCCTTTCGTCAGAACGTTTGTCGAGCGTCTGCCCGTGACATATAGGAAGACATACGAACCTATTTCTGTTTGTATTACGTCCTGGAGGATTGAGCCCTCTGTTCAACAATCATCACAACATTGGTGGCTTGTCCGGTTTATTTGTCCGGTATGACCTTGGCGTAGGTAGCAGTATCCCGATCTAGTCCCTTGACAGCTTTGACTTCAATCAATCTGGGCTTGCATTTATCGGAAAATACAAGAGCTATTTTTGACACACCGCTCAATTTCGACGCTGATTACATGTTCACCCTTTCTGAACAGAATCCATTTCTGGAATGCGTAAATCAACTCAGTAAGGACATCATATTTTAGGAGTTGGGTGTACCGTGCATTTTTCCATGCTTATGTTGATTTCCTAACTCACCAGGGAAGGATCCCAACTCGAAGTGGCCATTTGAAATA